TGTTCACCACCAGGCACCCTACAGACTCTCGATCCCCGAGGCCACCGAACTCAAGCGTCAGCTTGAGGAGCTCCTGAGACTGGGTTTCATTAAACCCAGCAACTCCCCGTGGGGTGCACCCGTCCTCTTTGCTCGCAAAGCGGACGAAACTCTCCGTCTCTGCATCGACTATCGCGGTCTCAACCGCTACACGGTTAAGAACAGCTACCCCATGCCTCGTTTCGATGAGCTGTTCGATTGCCTAGCAGGCAACTGCTTCTTTACGAAGATTGATCTTCGTAGCCGTTACCATCAGATCCACGTCGCTGCAACCGACCAGTCGAAGACCGCGTTCCGATCGCGATTCGGCCACTACGAGTTCACGGTGATGCCATTCGGCCTCACTAATGCTCCCGCTACCTTTCAGAGGGCGATGAACGACGTCTTCAGGGACATCCTGGAGCAGTACGTTCTCGTCTACCTCGACGATATCCTGGTCTACAGTCGTATCCTTGAGGAGCACCTCAGACACCTCCGCGACGTCCTTGACCTCTTGCGCAGACATGGCTTCTACGCCAAGCTGAGCAAGTGCCGCTTTGCCCAGCACAAAGTGGATTTCTTAGGACACTACGTGTCTGACCAGGGTCTCCACATGACGACGCGAAGATCACTGCTATTGCGGAGTGGCCCGCCCCCACATCCGCCGAGCAGCTTCGCAGCTTCCTAGGCCTGACCAGCTACTATAGTAACTTCATCCGGGGATATGCTAGGTATTCCTACGTCCTTACCTCCACCCTCCTCCGGAAGAACCCACCCTGGGCTTGGACACCCCTCCACGAGGACGCCTTCCGCGCCCTCAAGAAGGCGGTGACATGCGCACCGGTTCTTCACCTACCCGATTTTGACCGCCCTTTTATCCTTACCACCGATGCGTCAGACTTTGCTATAGGACCAGTGCTTTCTCAGGTCTTCCCTTCCTCTCCTGATTCCTCTCATCCTCGTATCCCTCGCTTCCCACCACCTACCCCTACCACTGCTTCCCGACTGACGCCTACTCGTCCAGCTACTGACGAGCCCTCTATTGACTATTCTCCTACCATCGCCGAGGACGGCACTGTCGAGTCTCGCTCAGGTGATTGTCCGATAGCCTTCTACTCCCGTCAGCTCCTGCCCGCCGAGATAAACTACACTGCTCATGAACGTGAGGTTCTCGCAGTAGTTTATGCTGCTCGACACTGGCGTCACTGCCTGCACGGGGCACCATTCACGGTGCGCACGGACAACTCTGTTGTCTAGGCTTTTCTGACAAAGCCGAAGCTCACTCCTCGACAGGCTCGCTGGTGGCGCGACCTATCCGAGTTTAGTTTCACCACTGAGCACATCAAGGGTGAGAGTAATCGGGTCGCAGATGCCTTATCCCGGCGCCCTGACCATGACCAGGAGCACATCCAGCTCTCTTCCATCTCGGTCACCGCTGTCCACCACTCGGTGATCGACGAGTTTCGCACTCAGTACCGCCACTGCCCCGACTATCGCGACATCCACGCGACCCTTCGGAGCGGCAAGACCGTCTCGAACTACTCTCTCGGGGACAACGGTCTTGTGTACTGGCACGGTTCACAGGGCACCAGAGAGCCCCGTATTTGCGTTCCCTCCACTGGACAGCTACGTGTCCGAGCAGTAGCAGAGTTCCATGACCAGGCAGCTGCCGCGTCTGGCCGAAGCGCAAGGACTTTGTGAAGGACTACGTCGCAGAGTGTCCCACCTGTCAGGAGGTGAACAGTGCGAACCACTTGCCTTATGGTTTGCTCCAGCCTCTTCCTATCCCTGAGGGTCGTTGGCAGTCCATCTCGATGGACTTTATCGGTCCCCTTCGTCCTCCGACCCCTCGCGGTCATGATGCTATCTTGGTCGTCGTCGACCGCTTTACGAAGCGTGCACGCTTTGTTCCGTGCCGCTATGCCATCAGTGCACGTGAGGTCGCTGACATCGTGTTTGACTGAGTCGTGCGTGACCACGGCTTACCTCTGAGCATCATATCTAACCGTGACCCGCGCTTTACCAGCCGATTCTGGCGACGGCTCCACGAGGTGTACGACACTCAGCTCCGCTTCTCCTCGTCTTACCATCCTCAGACTGATGGTCAGACCGAGATCACGAACAGGACTCTCGGAGATATTCTCCGAAAGATTGTTCGTGACGACCAGCAGTGGGATCTCCATCTTGCCCACGCGGAGATAGCCTACAACCACGCCGTCTC